CGGAGCTGGTCGGAGGGCCACCGCAGGTGGCCTGCCATGCTGCGCTCTAGAGGCGGACGCACAAGATCCACGGCGACAGCCGCGAAGACGGACACGCTGTCCAGGACCACGGTTACAGGGATAGCGTCACCTCCTTCCTCCCTCAGCCCCCTGATCCCCTCGGCTGGGACTGGGCCCCGGATCCTCTCGCGGAGCGCGAGGGGGCGGGCCTGCAAACCGCCAGCTGCGCCGCGTACCGAGAGCAGCCCAGAACCGAAGGAAAACCTACTCACAAGCTTGCGTGATCGGCTCACGGCATCAGACAAGTCGCAGACCTCCTTGCGGGCGCTGCGATACTCGCAGAGGCACATGTAGACGGCGCCTAGCATGCCAGATCCAGCCCCCCCTCTTGGAGGACCCGTCGCCGCGCGCGCAAATCTGGCCAGCGCACGCCATGGACGGGAACGCGACGCGCGCCCTGATCTTATGCGCGGCGAGGGCCACACACTTGAGCTGCACAACGCGCCGCGTGAGCAGCTTTTTTTGACCCGCAGCAGCGCCACGACGCACGCTGCGACGCGGCGTTGGGCGAGCAGGGCGCAAGCAGCTGCCCCCAGCAAGACGACGATGAGGTCGGGTACTTGACATCCCGCGGGCTCGTCGGCCTTCGCCTTAATTCCAGCCACTGGTTGGAATACTGGCGTCGGAGCTTGCGCGCATGTCGTAGCCGGCGAAGTCGGCGGTGTTTCGCGCAGGGGCTCTTGCATTCGGACTGGGCAATCGCACCTCTAGCTCGTTGAATCCCCGACCGTCGACGTCGCGGCGACCCTGGCCGTCGCTGCCCACCGCCAGCAGCGCGAGCTGCTTAGGCGGCAGGCCCCCAGAGGGTGGCTGCATTTTACTTTGCTGAACTGGTCAACTGGAATGCATAAGTGCCCACTCGGAGCGGACCCCAGGTCGAGCTGGTCCGCGCGTAGGCCCCACGAGATCTCGTAGCCGCCCAGCCTGGGGAAGGCGAGGCGCTGGCGGCTAACGCCTGTCTCCACCACCCCGCTGTCAGCGCGCATGGATTACAAGCCTAGCAGGGCAGGGGGAGCGCCGCCTGCGCCCTCCATGGCAAGAGCGCGCATGCCGTGCTGAGTAGCCACACGATCGCGTGACGTTGTGGCGACGGGGCAGTAGGTTTCCCAGTTCGCCACCTGTGACCCGTTGGCCACTCCTGCCACATAGAGTGGAGCAGACAACCTCTCCTCAGAGGGCTGGAACTCCGCCCGCATGGCTCGCCGGGCCAATTTCTGCGCGAATCGCATGCCCCAGAAGTTGGTCCAGGCGCCAGTGTCGACGACGACGCCTGACCGGCCGCCTGAGAGCGTTGCACTTGTCAGGTAATACGGCGAGTCGCCCTCGAGCCAGTACCTGACGAAGTAGGCCACCACGGAAGTGCAGCTCCAACCGACGCAGGCCCGCATGGGGGCACGTGCACATCCAGGCGCGCGTCGCAGGGCACCGGCTCCACCGCAGACAGGAAACTAGAAGCACCGCATGGGGATCTCAGAAGATCTTGCCGCGGTGTGTCGCGCCCTGCCGCGGCGGCTCCCCCCGCGGCACATATCCTGCTGCTGCATCGCGAGGTGGCAGCACAGAAACCAGACCCGTGCGCACACGATCTGCACCCACGACATCGAGGTCGGCGATGATGTCGGCTGATCCGCGGCACGCCAGGCAATAAACCATACTGGCGTCGGTGTTCTGCAAGCTGTAGGTGGCACGCGCGGAGCAGAATGCGTCGGCGCCGCAGTCGCGCGACCCTCTCGCCGTGGACGAAGGCCTCGAGACAGATCAGGCACTCCTTATCGTCGCCAAAGAAAATCGCAACCATGGGAGGCGCCGCTGGCGCTGCAGCCGGCACACCATTCGATACCGCAACCATGGGAGGTTTTGCGAGAGCTGCAACCAGCACAGGAAGAGGTTTCGTCACTGTCCCCCCCCAATTCTGCGCGGCTTGGCGCTGCTGGTCTGCCTGCTGTCGCAATAGCTCCAACGCTAGCTGCGCGCGATGGAACTCGTCGAAGTGTCGTCGTTCAGCTTGGTCGAGAGCGATTGCAATGCGCGCTCGGACCGATTGCCGGTGGCCACCCACGTCTCGCGGCCCGCGAACCAACTTGCTAATTTCCCTGACCTTTGGTTCACGTCCGGCCGGCCTTGGGCCAGGGACTGTCTGGCACCACCGGCGGCGCAGGTGCCCGCGCCGATGCGGCGGCCAAATTGAGCTCGATCCGCTTGGATCTTGTTCTTTTATTATCTTGGGTGACGGCTGTTACCCGGGGGGAGGGGTCGGGCCGGCGGGCAACGGCAACGGCAGCCGCGGCGCGCGCCCGCCAGGGTGCGTCCGCGCCACCGGCACTTAAATTGCGCGCGCTGCAATCCCTGCGCACGTGACAATGCCAGAAGCACTCGTGCAAGACAACGCCGCCTGAGTGCCCCACAATGCTTCGGCGCACCACAACAGCTGCGCGCACAACGCCACCACGTCGCCTGCGTACGCCGCAAAATATGCGCATACTGCCGCAACCGCGTGCGCAACTGCGCTTGTGTAGACCACATTGCTTGCGTGTGCCAGAGCGCCCGTGCACGCCGCAACGCCTGCGTGCACCACAGCAACCACGTGCACCACAGCGCCTGCGCACGCCACGATTCTTCCGTGCATCACATCGCCTGTCTACAACAAAACGTGTCAACGGGCACATCACTAGCTTGCGAAGCCTCTTCATTTTTCTGGGGGGGGGGGCCACCACGGACCGCAGAAACCCCCGCCACGTCGCCCGCGCACACCGCAGCACCTGGAGAATAGCATCGATGGCACGCAAGCCGTTGGGTCGGCACTATGCGAAGTTCGGCAAGACCATCCGTAGCTTGCTTCGAACGAGACGGCCAAGAGGAGATGGAATAATATGGAACGATTGGAAAACTCGAAAGCGACGCGGGGGGGGGAGGCGGGAAGGGGTGGGGAAGGTTGGAGGGAGGTGCGAACAGCCGCATAGTAACTCGGCGCGCCAGCGCGCAACGAAGACGTCACGACATTCAGCCCGCAAATGCGAGCGAAAGCCTACGAGGAGACCAAGGAGGAGCGAGGGGGGGGGCGAAGCGAAGGGGTCAGGGCGATGCGCAGAACCCCAGGCCGCGGGCACTCTGAGCCTGATCTTGCGCGGGCGCACCCGAGAAGCTCGCTCGCCGTTGGACTGAGCGCGCCGCCGAGGCGAGATTGCCCGGCGATCCCTCGATCATATCCCCAAAGAGTCGCAACTGGCTCGTCACATGCGCGAGTCGTGCTGCGCTGGTCGGGCACGCTGGGCACGCCAGGTTGTAGCGCTGCACAGTCATGGTCACTTGCGCGTTTGACACTCCCACCGCGACCAAGTGGGGGGAGCTGAGGCCCTCGTGGCCCATAATGAGCTGACCAGCTTGTTGAGCGCGGTTGCGGGGGATGTCGAAACGCGCGAGGAAGTTGTCGACACGTTACTGCGGCAATCGGCTGAAGCTCATAAGTACTGAGACTGCCGAAGTTCGCTCTCCCTCGCCCAGCTGGCCCCAACGTTCGGGCAAACTGCGCGTCACGAATGTCATCGGCGGTACTGGGTCGCCGTTGATGGCTCATCCCTGGACGATGACAGCCGGCTGCCACTCGCCCGCGCACTCTCGACATCTATACCGGCGGGTCGCGACGAGACGCAGGCCGCCTGGCGGAACTCGTTGAGGTCGGATTTCGACACTGACCACATCATCACCTCCCGCGCCAAATGTTGGAGGGGAGCCCGCGATTGCTGCTCGGGCCCCCAGGCGCGGAGGCGACGCATGCCGCCGCCGCCGCCCCCCGCGCCCACGTGGGCGAGGCAATTTGCCAGGGCGCGCACGCCCAGGCCGATGGCCTTGCATCCAGAGGGGCTGCCCCTCCATAGACTCAGGCGGCGCTGGGGGCTGGGGGTTCAGCGCCGGCCGCCTCCAGCCTCCACCGCCGCCTCGAGTCGCGTCGCCAAGGTACTGGGGACCGCCAACCTCCCGATAATCCAAAGGAATGCGCATCGGGATCTCGTCCTGTGAGTCTGTCAACTGCCAAAAGACGTAGACAGCGAATCCTAGCCTGCTGCACCGTTCCTTGGAGGCACGACAACACTAACGTCCAACACTCCACCAGATTCTCACTTCCATCATCGCTCTTATCCGTCGGCGGCCCCCAGGTCGATCGCAACACGATCGCGGGAAACTCGGGTCCACGGGCCGGTCCTGTCGATAAGAACTCGTCATTATTTTCAGCGCACGGTACGATGGGCCCTGAGAGCGGTTCCAACACACTTGGAATACGCCCAAGGAGAAAAGGCTGGCTGCGGCGGCGGCGGGTGGGCGCCGCGCCCCTTGTGGATGGTGAAGTTGTCATTGCACATGCAGGTTTTGGCGCAATACGTCTTAGCACAAGTGAAGATCATGAACACAGATGGCATGGCGATCCAGAGGACGAGCCTTGCCGAACACGAAATCCCGGATGGGGTAGACGTAGCCGAGCAAGAAACTGCCAGAGGTGCCACGCGGGCCATGGCGGCGGGAAGAGTGTACGTGATGGAAAGGAGCAGGAGCTCTACTACCAATTATGGATACGGTGATGGTGGTTAAAAAATGCGACGTTACCCGAATACTGTGAATAAGATGACTTTAATACGGGCGTGGGAGCGTTGCAGGCTCACGCACGCCAGAGCAACACGGCAATGGCAAAGGGAGACAATCTAGGCAGGCAGAGAATAGGGATGCATAAGAGACACACCGTTCGAGTATGGGGAGGAGGGAGGAGGAGGAGGAGGCATCATCATCACCACCACCAGCACCATCATCATCATCATCACCACCATCATCATCATCATCATCATCATCATCATCATCACCATCATCATCATCATCATCATCATCATCATCATCATCATCATCATCATCATCATCATCATCATCATCATCATCATCATCATCATCATCATCATCATCATCATCATCATCATCATCATCATCATCATCATCATCATCATCATCATCATCATCATCATCATCATCATCATCATCATCATCATCATCATCATCATCATCATCATCGTCATCGTCATCGTCATCGTCATAGTCATCATCATCATCCTACCCCGTTGCCTCCATTCCCAATCCTCATCATCCTCACCGCTCGCCGTCGTCGCCGGTCATGGCCGTCATCGTGCGCGTTCTGGCAGCAACGGAGGTGTCCCGGATCGGCGGCACTTGCCGGAGGCCACTACAATATAAGAGACATACCGTTCGAGTATGGGGAGGAGGGAGGAGGAGGAGGAGGAGGAGGAGGAGGAGGAGGAGAAGGAGGAGGAGGAGGAAAACAGGGAGGATGAGGAGAAGGGGGCGGAGGTGGAGGCGGAGGCGACGGCTGATGCGGGGGCCGCACTGAGGAGGAGGAGGAGGAGGAGAGAGGGGAGAGGAGGAGGAGTAGGAGGAGACGAGAGGAAAAAAAAAAAAAAAAAAAAAAAAGAAAAAAAAAAAAAAGAAACAAAAAAAAAAAAAAGAAAAAAAAAAGAAGACAAGAAAAGAGGAGAAAGAGTAAAAAAGAAAGAGTAAGAGAAGAGGGAGGAGGGGGAAAATAGGGGATTGGCGCTTGTTTCAAAAAAAAAAGAAAAAAAAACAAAAAAAATCACAAGAAAAAATAATTATTTGATCGTTATGGAAAGGATAGAGAAAAAAAAAAAAGGGAAAAAAAGGGAACAAAAAAAAAATAAAAGAAAAAAAAAAAAAAAAAACAAGAAAAAAAAACATGGGAAAAAAGGGGAACAAGAAAAAAAATAAATAAAAAACAAAAAAAAAAGGAGAACAAAAAACAAAAAAAAAAACAAATGGAATGGGCACAAAGAAAAAGACGAAGAGGAAAAACACAGAAACATAGCATTGGAAAGAAAACACAAAAAAAAAAAAAAAAAAAAATAAAGAAAAAAACAAGAGGGGAAAAAGGAGCGGTCCTGGGGGGGGGGGGAGGGGGGGGGGTGGGGGGGGGGGCCCCCCCCCGCCACAGTTTGCGACCCGCTTCGGACACCTGGAACGTGCTATGGAAGAAGTACGGGGGGTCGAGTTTGAGGGGGGAAAAGTTGGAGACGGAGAAGGATGTCTAGCGTGGAGGGCTTGCACCGTAAAATGGAGCGCGCGTCTGGGCTGCGGTCGGAGGGGGATGGATGGAGGAGGAGGCGGAGGGGGAGGAGGAGGAGGAGGAGGAGGAGGAGGAGGAGGAGGAGGAGGAGGAGGAGGAGGACGACGACGAGTGTGACTCGAGCACTCCACCGAGCACGTCTTTCTTGCGAAGTCTGCAGCCATAGCACTTGAGATCGCTGCCGATTGAGAAAAGAGCGGCACGTCCGGGGATGCGTGCAATCCTTGCAGTGCCAGTCGCTGCGAGGCGTATCCTTCGCTGAGATGGCGGCAGCACCCGGGCGTTGAGGAGAATCAGCAACCCGAGAAGGATGGAAACAAGTTTGCTCCAGCATTACCTCACTGAATGCAATTGCTGCTACGGATCGGCGGTATCGGCTTGCTGCCCTCAGGACATCAGCATCTTGAGCCCGACTTGCTCCGGAGAGTGGGAGAGGGGGGAGTCAGGTGGGTGAGGGAGGAGGGGAAGGGCCTGTCCTCTCATTCCCCTTACCTTCCCTCAAGTCCCCTCCCCTGCCCTGCCCTCCCCCCTCCGTTCCGTCTTGCAGGTCAGGCTCAGAAGGGGACGAACCCTACTGTAGTGCGCACCACTCTCCGTTCCAATCCTCCTCCTTCTCCTCCTCCTCCTCCTCCTCCTCCTCCTCCTCCTTCTCCTCCTCCTTCTCCTCCCCGTCCCCGCTGCCCCCGTCTCCTCCCTTCCTTCCCCGCCCCCCCCCCACCACAACCCCACCCCCACTCCTCCACCTCCTTTCGCGCCTCGTCGATGCTGGGGAAGCTGGCCGTCTGCAAGAAGCCCTTCCTGCCCGTCGCAGTGGAACTGCTCGCCGTCCCGATCGCCCTTCTTGCGAGGCTCCTCGCTGACGCGAAGCGGGCACGGGAAGAAAGAACGTCCGTGAGATGCGGGCGCCGTGGAAAGAAATACAAGACTTCAAGTGCTCGGCCATTCCCCTCCAGGCCCCAGGACCACAAAAAAACACGACTCGGGGTGAAACACCGTGAAGGGGTCGAGACCTCCAGGAGTCCATGCCGTGACTAATCACGGCGTCGGTGGTCCGGCGATCCACAATCAGGCCGCCACGCGGCGGAAAGGCCGATGCCGCCGAGAGATGGGCCCGTATCTGGCCCGTCCGTGGAGGCTGCCGGTGGTGGTGGTGGGTGCACTTCCCAATCCCCATCGGCAGCCGTGAATGCAGAGATGTGGTGAGCTCCCTCAGACTCGAGTGCCGAAAAGGCTCCCCGTGCCTGAGAAAATAATGTGGGGGGGGCCAGCCGCACGGCCCTCCTCTTCCCCAAACCCCCACACCCCCATCCCCCGAAGGCCTGGAGGAGGAGGAGCAGGAGGTGGAGGGGCACGCCCGGGATGCTGATGCTAATGATACTGGTGATGGTGACGCTGCTGATGCTGATGATAATGACGATGATAATGATGAGGAGGGTGATGATGATGCTGCTGATGATGATGAAGATGATGGTGGTGATGCTAATGCTGATGCTGATGATGATGATGATGCTGATGATGATGATGATGATGATGATGATGATGATGCTGATGATGATGATGATGATGATGATGATGATGATGATGATGCTGGTGATGATAATGAAACTCGTTTGGGTCGTCTTGGGCGGGTTGAGAGGCGCTCGATCATGTTGATTGGTCTGCCCTGGCCCTCGCCTCGCACGTCACGCATGAGACGAGGTGAATTCCCGACTGGGGCACCACACGATTCACTTCGGCCTCGCTCCTTCTCCTCCTCCTCCTCCTCATCATCATCATGATCATCCTCCCCCTCCTCCCCCGAGAGAGAGAGAGAGATAGAAAAATAAAAAAGAAGGGGAATGGAATGGGGGGAGCAACCGCGCGAGCGGAAAATCTGACTCGGCTGAGCTGGCCCGAGGGCACTTCACGATTGATGCACCCGCAGCTGGAGCCGGAGCCAACGAGAAGCGGAAAAGGGCCCACCCTGCAGGTTTGGTTGACAGCGCATCGTTGAGCGGTGCTGCAGCCTCCCTGGGAGTGGGAGAGGGGGAATAGGCGGGGGAAAAAGGTGAAGCGAGCGAGCGAGCGAGCCACCAATGCGGAACATCCTTCGGGACGATATAAGGCTAGGCGGGCGAGGCCCTTGTTCCTACACACATGACTCTACCTATACATTATATACAAATGTGTATATATATGTGTGCCTGCATACATGCATGTATGTATGTATGTTTGTGTGCATGTGTGTACGTGTGGATGTAGGTATGCATGTATGCATGCATGTAAGTGTATATGTATGTACGGTTGTATGTATGTATGTATGTATGTATGTATGTATGTATGTATGTATGTATGTATGTATGTATGTATGTATGTATGCGTGTATGTGTGTATGCATGTATGCATGCATGCATGCATGCATGTATGTACGTATGTACGTATGTACGTATGTGCGTATGTACGTATGTACGTATGTACGTATGTATGTATGCATGTGTGTATGTGTGTATGTGTGTATGTGTGAGTGTATGTATGTATGTATGTATGTATGTATGTATGTATGTATGTGTGTGTGTATGTAGGTATGTGTGTATGTATGTATGTATGTATGTATGTATGTATGTATGTATGTATGTATGTATGTATGTATATATGTATGTATGTATGTGTGTATACATGCATACATACATGCATGCATGCATGTATGTATGTATGTATGTATGTATGTAGATATGTATGTATGTCTGTACGTGTGGGTGTGTGTATGGTTGTGTATGTGTTTATGTATGTGTATGTATGTGTATGTATGTATGCATGCGTACATGCTGTGTATGTATGGTTGCCTGGATGTATGCATGCGTGTATGTACGTTCGTATGTATATAAGCACATAAGTACCTATGTTTGTATGTGTATATGTATGTGTATGGATGTCTGTGTGTATGTGTGTACGTATGTATGGGTGTGTATACGTACGCATGTACGTATTAACATGCATGGATGTATGTACGTGTGCTTGCATGTATGCTGAGATGACGAGGCAAGCAGCTCTTTTCTCTTGAGCCGCACTCGCTGCGGGGGGGAGCCCCCTCTCCCCGTTGTGTCTGGCCTAGGCAGGCGGCTCGCTCGGGCCTCTCGGGGCCCGCCGCGCACGCCGGGGCCCCATTCGGGCCCCAGCCTCACCTCGGAGCCTCTGACAGGGGCCGTACACCCACTGGAGCCTGCAACGCATGCATGCGTGCATGCATGTATGTATGTGTGTGTATGTAGTTATGCATGTATGCACGCATGTATGCATACATGCACGTCCGTACGTCCGCACGGACTGATGCATGTATGCATGTCTGCGTGTCTGTCTGTACGTCTGTATGTCTGTATGTCTGTCTGTTATGTATGTATGTATGCATGCATGCCTTTATGCACGTATGTCTGCATGGCTGTGTGTGTTGATGTGTCTGTATGTATGTGTGTCTGTATGTCTGCATGTATATTTGTGCATGTGTATTCCGCCACCGTGCCCTGAGGCACAAATTGGAGTGTGCCCACACCGGTTCTCTGCCTTGAACTCTGCCTCGAACTCTGCGAATACTGCTCACGGGGCCCACAGCCTGGAGAGCTCCCGCGGGTGCTCTCGGGCGCTCCCGGGGGGCTTGTGGTTGGACGCTCTCGCGCGCCCTTTGGGAGGTCCCTGCTTGACTTCTCCAGAGGCCCAAGGCGCGTTGCTGGGGACATGCATGGGACGCACAAAGACATACTAATACTATATGTCCTTGGAGGCGCGCGTCCGACCCGCACATGCAGTATACCCATCTTGTAGTGGATCGTTTCCCGAGCGGTGTGGCCAGAAAGCGCCAGCCACGACGCATATACTATAAAATTTCTCGGTGCGAGCGTCGCCCCTGTGGGGGGCGACGAACATACAGCACAAGCATGTTGGGGTGACACCGAATGCATGCAGGGACCGACCACAACGATGTTTAAAACGAAATGGCATTTGAAACGAACAACGAAACAGGGCCCAACGTTTGAAACGAACGTTTGAAACGAAGCCGGTGCCAAACGAAAACGAACGACGAAACGGGGCGTTTGCAGCAACAACGAAAAACGAAACGAAACAATCGCAGAAAACGAAACGAAAACGAGACAGGGGCCAAAACCCAGCTGAACAGCGTTGTGGTCGGTCCGTGCATGCACGTCCAACATGGTTTCAGATGGTCCGGGGGGGCCGTCCTGGAGCCCTTTTGAGCGCCTCGTGGGCTGTCGTCGATGCCCTGGAGAGCGGCCAAAAGAGGCCAAAATCGTCAGAATCCATTTGTGTGCTTGTGTGCTTTTCGCAGTACCGCCTGTTCGGTCTTCAGAGCGTCCGCGACAGCCCAAGAGGCGCCAAAGATCGCCCGAAAACGGACCAAGGGCGCACAAAAGGGTCCCAAGAGACCCCCAAGACAGCCCTAAGAGGGCCCAAGATGGCGAACACGAACTGACATTTGAGCCCTCCGCCCCATGATGGCCCCAAGATCCCCCCAAAGCCCCCGAGGTGTGCCCAAGAGGCTCCAAGATGCCCTCCACTGCGAGGGCAAATCAACCCCCAAGGGCCCCCAAGACGCCCCAAGGCACCTCCAAGACCACCTCCAGGAGGCATCCGAGAGGCCGCCTAAGAGATCCTTGCAGGCATCCAGGAGGCCTCTGATCCACAACCCGGGCACGGTGGCGGGATGGGCCGAAGGCCACCAAATCCGCCGCCCCCTGCTTGCAGGGGTGCACGGCGTGCTGGACGAGCTGTTAGGTTTTGGTTTTGGTTTTTTTTCCAAAAGAACTCCCCAGTGGGCTCCGGCAGAACCCGCCACCGTGCGCAAAAACGGCCGTTTCGCTCGGGACATCCTCAAAAAATCGCGAAGATGGCCCAAGATGGCCTCCAAGTCCGCCCGAGATGGTCCAAGACGGCCTCCAAAACGGCCCAAGAGAGTCCAAGACGGCCCAAGACGGCCCAAGAGGCCCCCCAGAGGCCTCCCAGACGGCCCAAGAGGCCTCCAAGAGGTCCTCCAGGAGAGTCCGAAGAGGGCAAAATCATTGATTTTCCCTTGGTTTTTGAAGGATTTTGGCATTTGCGCCTTTTCGGCTCTCCGACGGCTCAAGACGGCCCAAGAAGCCCCCAAGATCGCCCAAGAGGCCCCCAAGAGAGCCCCCTGATGGCCCAAGTGGCCTCCAAGATGGCCCCTAGAGGGCCCCAAGACGGCCCAAGAGGCCTCCAACACGCCCAAGATGGCCTCCAAGACGCCCAAGATGGCCTCCAAGACGGCCCTGGAGCGCCCCAAGAGGGTCCCCCGTTGGCCCAGAAAGGCCCCCAAAACGGCTCCCGACGGCGTCAGACGTGCCAGGAACCCACCAAGATGGCCGAAGTTGGCTCGAAGCTGGCCCAAAAGGGCCCAAGAGGCCCCCAAGAGGGCCTCCAGGAAGGCCAAAAGATGCCAAAATCACTGATTTTCCCAAGGTTTTTGATGGATTTGGGCATTTCCCTTCTTTCGGCCTTCCGACGGCCCGAGACGGCCCAAGAGCCCCCAAAGATCGCCGAAAGATCGCCCAAGAGGCCTCCAAGACGACGACGATGACCATCAAGACGCCCACGTGTTCCCCGAAGGCTTTCCAAACCGATTCGGGGAACACATGGTCCGATGGCTTGGCAGGTCTGGCCTCAACGTTCGGCCACATAGGCGCTTCCACAAAGGCAGGGGGCGGCGGTGATTCGCCGTAGGCGTCTTCGATCCGCCGCCCCCTGCTTGCAGGGGTGCACGGCGTGCTGGACGTTTCAGGTTTTGGTTTTGGTTCTTTTTCCAAAAGAACTTCCCAGTGGGCTCCGGCAGAACCCGCCGGCCACCC